TTTGTAATAGTATCGGGAGCCTTGGAAAGCGGCCAGACGAATTAGATGTGGCGTGGATCACCGTAAAGAACTGCACGCTCACGGGCACGACCAATGGCGCGAGGATCAAGACATTCCACGACTCCCCAGAGCTAAGCGCATCGGGAATTATCTACCAAGATATCGTTATGAATCAAGTCAAGAATCCAATCATCATCGACCAGCACTATAGCTCCAAGAACAAGCCAACGGTACGTAAAAAAGAAAAAATAAAACACATGCATAATACAATTCCGTGTTTCCATTTATTCATTCGTTCGTATATTCATCGGTTTGTGCTGCACAGCAATCGAGCGTAAAAATCAGTGACGTTCACTTCCTAAACATTAAGGGCACCACAACTTCAGAAATTCCAGTAAATCTCGACTGCAGCACGAAATTCCCTTGCGAAAATATCGAGCTGGCCGACATTGACTTGGCGCCCGTGGGCTCGATTAGCCTCAAATCGGCTTGTGCGAGTGCTAAAACGCTACTCAAAGGCGTGCAGAATCCCCCGGGGCCCTCATCTTGTGTATAGTTTTACGAGCAAATAAAAAAAAAATACCAAATGCTTATTGCATTGGGGACACTATTTTTTGTACATTTGCTTTCGTTTTTCAACAAGTAGAAAAGGAGAAACGAAATGCTTTTGGTTTTTTGTTTCTCTTTTCAAAACCTTGCTTCCCCTGTTCTCTCTGTTTTTCCCCAAACATAAAAAAGGAGAGAAAAACTAAGGATTGGGATTTGGGAGAGGCGATTTACTAACTGAATGGCCAAGTGCGTATGTATAACAATTTTAATGTAAATTGAAGTTATGATGCTATTACTGTCTATTTCTTCTAAATGCTTGTACTTAATACTTCCATTTATCTAAACTTCCATACTTTGAAAAGGTTAAATACATAAACAACGAAGACTTAGTTGAATTTTGAAGATTCATCAGAGTTCAGCAGTCTACAGAAGATGATAAGTTAATCCAGCACAATTATCCTTCTGATAGTTCAAATCCTGTTGAAAAAAAGTTCATGGAAAATTCAAACCCTGTTGAAAAAGAGCTCATGTAAAATCCTTTGCTTGTTCGTAAATAAATCGGTTACCTTATTGGGTTTGTATATTTATCGGATAGGCCGAACAAATTAATCAACGTCAATTCAATTAATGATGGTATTAATTGCTTCTGCTTCTTCT